GGGACTATTTTAAAAAATAAAGAAATATGAGAGATAAATTAGATTGAGATCTTGTATTTAAGACTAAATTAAATATCAAACTAATTTTTATATTAAGAATGAATATAATATTTTTTAAGGAAAAAAAAAAAGTAGATGCGGTTCAAGATATTGGAGGGATGAGGACTTTGGTTTGAACTCAGAGTCCGCAACCGGCAAGGTTAAAAATGAAAAAGGTGAAGACAGAACCGATGGTGGCGAAAGAGAAGGCATCTTGTTCATGGTCATGTGTCTTTCCGCAAGGCAAGCCCATCACGGGGAATCCTTATCCCAAACACGCCCTCAGGGGCCCAACGCATTATAATACTCTCACATGTCACAAACCGCGTGATGCTCCGCCACGTGTCGACATTCTGGCTGGCCCGCCCATCCATCGAAGTTGTGGAATCCCAGGTACAGTATGTTTCAGTGCTTGCTGGGTCTGCGCTTCGTCACCTTCTGAAATTCTGGAACCCCCGATTCCCTCGCAGCGGACCAGGACGACCCAGAATCTCGCCTCTTGGGTTCCCCCAACGTGTCCCCTTTCTATTCGTTCAATCAGCCTTCCTTTTTTGTATTTTCTAAGAAAGTGGCAAGGCGCCACAGCCATCCCTTCGTCATGTTGCTGTTTAATTTATTGAATAAAAATAGTAAATCATATATAAATAAACAAAGATGCTATTCCCACGAGAATCTCGCACATGACCAACATTCATCAATGCCTTCTATTTTCTTCCTTTTTATTCTGTGTTTGTTTCCCCGCTAGAGCCGGGAAAACGGGCCGAGCCCGTCGGGCCGGCCCTTTTAGGCCCTGAAATTATGAGGGCCGGGCTTGATATTTTTCTTTTAAAATGATAAATAAGCCCTGGAGGGCTGGCCCTGGAGGGCCGAGGGCTTAAAAGGGCCGGCCCTGGAGGGCCGCGGGCCGGCCCTTTTAAGCCCTTTTATAATTTTTTTATTTTTTAAATTTTTTATATAATATTAATGTTATTAATTTTTTACATTGTTAATAATATTTCAAATATTTAGTTATTATTATCATTTTAAAATTAAATTTAGTTTTAGACAATAATTTATCCAATTAAATTTTTAAAAAATGGGTTAATTTGGACTTTAATAATAATTTGATTTATATTATATGCGTTGATATTTTTAAACTATATATATATATTTGATAATAGAATATTTTTATACTTATATAACTTGTGATTCTATAATTTGAATTAGAAATTCATGAGTTTCAACAACAATGTTTCTCACATTAAAGTAAAATAATAGTTAGATTGCAAAATTTAAAAATAAAATTCTTATAAAGAAGAAAAACTTGATATTTTTGTTACGAAAGAAAAGCATACTTATGAAGAAAAATAATTAATTATAGTGATGATGAAGTTTCAAAAGATTAATGATAGTGTTTATTTATTGCATAATTGCATTATAGATAAAACTTTTAGATGTTGTTATTTTGTTAATGAATGTTTTAGATGTTCTTAGATGTTGATGAATATTTATATATGATAATAGTTTTATATTTGTGACTTAATTTTATTCATATTTATGTCTTTTATTAATAATTTCATTGGTTTATTTTTATATTTTTATAAAAAAATATGATAAATATAAGAAATAGTATTTTTTCTTAAACGGGCCAAAAGCCCGCGGGCCGGCCCTGGCCCTGTAGCTTAAGGGCCGGGCTTAGCAAATTGGGGTATTTTTAAAATTTCAGCCCTGGAGGGCCGGCCCTTTTAAGCCCGCCAGCCCTGAAGGGCCAGCCCTGGAGGGCCGGGCGGGCCCTGATTCCCGGCTCTATTCCCCGCAATGCTTGTATGCTTCTGGCCAAAAAAGAAAAATAATGCTGATAGAGTAACCCTCTATCGTAAACTTGTCCTTGTTTTGAATCGATCCCACTGGTGCAAGCAAATACATACAATAATAAATTTATCTTTGCTTTTAAGGGTGTGCAATTTAATTATTTGAAAGATTGTGCTTTTTTAAAAAAAAAAACACATAGGTATTTTTTTATTGGAGACAATACGGTTTCAAGTAATGTCAGATATTAAATACAAGCAATTCTCTGAATAGGAATTTGAACGTTGATTAATCATATTATGAGAGATTTTTTTTTTTGGGTTAGACTGGATCCTCATTAACAAAACGGAGTGAATAAACTATGGAGTATTTGCATTTTGCAAATGCCGTAATTGGGCGCTGTTTATACTCTATGTTCTTCCCTAGTGCTGATGAATGAATGTTAGTTAATTTAAACCCCAAGAGTTTGAGCACGGGTCAGGCTTAAAGAAATCAGACATGGGGAAGACAGGAGGAAATGTATGATCTAGTGTGTGCATGTGTGTGTGTGATTATTTTTAAATATGCGTCACTTTCTGCATACTGTCTGCATAGTGAATGTATATCTTTATAAAGTCCGCACTTAGATTATTCAGATTATTAAATTAAAATAGCTAAGCCTGGCTGTTATTAAATATTTTTTATTTTGAAAACCCTTTAAGTGGATATATATTGTGAATAAAAAGTGAGCTTTCTAGATATATCGATCTGAAACATCAGAGCTCTGATCTACCCTAACAATCACGACAAGGCACCTTGAAAATTAAAACAAGAGGACACTACACGGAAAATACCCCAGCAAAAATAACAAGGACAGAGGAAGAAAGTATGAAGAATTTCCATCAAAAAAATACAGAGATTATTAAAAAATAATATACATCTTTTCACGCATTATATAGAATTTGAAAATAAGTCATGTTATTCCTGGTGTACGCATGATATGATATATTGTAAATTTTATCGTGTGTGTATATATAGAATTTGATGCGTTGAGATTGATTTAAGGAAGTGCCATATAGCAAAGAGCAATTTTTCGTCTATTCAGTGCTTATTTTAGATTTAATGTTTGCAGAACTGAAAGTTCCCACGAACTATGTAGCTTGCAAAATAAAGTTGGAATGAAACCCGGTCACTGTATAATGGTGTAATTGATATTTAGATAATTTTCCTTGAAAAAAGTCAATTTATATAATTGAAAAGTATATTTAGCTGTATGATTATTATTGAAAAGGACACAAGTTTTATCGAAGATGAATAGGAATAAGGGATGCAACAGAGGGGAAATTTTAAATGGCATTAAATATGCTAAATAACGGCATAATGCCATGTGACTTAGCTCGCAAACTAATAAATTGCTGCTTTGGGCCTGACCCAACTTTTAGAAGATATATCTGTCTCCAACTTTTATCTAAGGATGATATTATCTTCTGTTTTAAATATAAAATCTTGTTTGTTCGTTTATAGACTATAAATAATATTTTATAATTAGGATTAGAGTTAGTATAATATTTAGGTTCCAACAAGTCTTTTAGGACTAAAATCATGTGTCTGGATTCCTAAAAACTAAACCGCATATGCAAAAGTGCATGTCTCTTATTCAATCTGGATTTGTCCGGGACAAAAAAGATTAAATCAATTATCAATAGAAGAGAAATATTACTTGAGAATGGAAACCAAAAAAAAAAAGCGCCTAGCAAGTGAGAAGGTGATGTCAGAATGTTTTGTTTAACAATCAATATAACTGTTAATTAAATAAATACTCCTCCGGTCCGTGGGATGATTCAATAAAAGCCAAAATCCCTCACAATTTGATTACTATATACGACCCCTTATTCTGTTGCAAACATTTCCTTTTTTTGGGGGGAGGGGGGATATTGCAAACCCTTCGATCTTTTTTTTTTTTTTTTGGGGTAAGGAACTCTTCGAATTTAATTACAAGGGTTTTGGATTTCCACCAAAGTGCGGGACGGTGGGTGAAGATTAAAATAAACAATCATAAGTCCAAGTCAAAATGGTGCATGATACTTTCTCCAAACATTTTAATATTTTATGTTTTTGACCGCCAAACTTGATGAAAACATGCCAAACCCCATGCGTCACAAAATCCTCGAGTTCCACTGTCTATCCTCAACCTTCCTCTCCTGATTTACCAAACTGCCCCTTCTCTAATGGGTTGCAGGTCAACTTTTTTTTTTTTTTTTAAAAAAAGATGTACTACTTTCTGTCCCAATTATTACAAGGCATCGTTTATAATCTACTTTATTATAAATAAGATCTTATAATTATGACTGCAAATAATATTTTTTAACGCTAATATTGGGATTTCACCTGATGAACACGTAAAGTTCACAGGCGCACTGATCGAGAGAACAAGCCTTATTTAATTCGTAGCAAGAATGATTAATTCACAATTCGCCGCGTTAAGTACGAACTTTGAATATCTTACTGACCATATATTTTTTTTTTTTGACCGGACTTACTGACCATATAATTAAACTTTATAACTTTGTCGAAGTTTTTTTTTCCTGAGAAAAACAGTAACATGCTGCCAATTTATCGATAGGGGTAATTTTTCATTATTTCAGGTTGGGTGTAATATAAATAGAGGCCGGTGATTTAAATATTTCCATTACATTTTTAGAAACATTACATTTCTTAAGTGTTATGAGTAATGTTATAACTCTACAACAAGTATAGTACCCAAAGCTTTCATTATTTTAGGTATATTTTGAATCATTATCTTAACTATTAGTTTGATTAATATAAATAGATTATATATTCTGAAAATGGGATGTTAAAATGCCTTTTAAATATTGGATATTTTTATTTTTATTTTTAATCTCTGTTATAATTTACGAAATAGTATTTTTTTTTTGTCTTGAATATGCCATTTATTTTATAAATTATATAATATGGACGAGACATCACGGAAAAAACAAAGTATCAAATTATAGGTTTATGTGCTAGAATGACCTTATTTTGCAATCCTTAATTTTTTTAATCAACTTTACATCTTTTACCCAACTCATATTATGGTAACAGTGAAAAGCTAAGAATTTCAAGGATTTCAGACAGGCCCGCCCTCGGCAATAGAGACGCGACGCCCCGAGTACGAGCATCGAATCTTTTTGTCCTGAATCTGAATTTCCCTTGTATATAAATGAATCTCTATCCTCTTCTTCCTCCTTCGTTATCATCTCTATCTCGGTCATGCTAGCGAAACACTGAAGCCGACACCCAGTTGTGACAGAATAATACCCCTAAGATGGACTTGAGCTTGGATTTGAGTTTGTCTTTTGTTCCCAAAACTATTTCTGAGTTTCTTCGTGAGGTTGCTAAGACCGGAGATAGGCACGAGAAATTAGCGATGCTTGATGACTTTGTCAAGAGATTGGAGGATGAAATGAGGAAGATCGAAGCCTTCAAACGGGAGCTTCCACTCTGCATGCTGCTCGTGAACGATGGTAGGTTCTATCCTTGGATTTTTTTTTTTTTTTTTGGGGGGGGGAATTTGTTTATGATGTTTTTTTGTGAAATTTTTGCTGATACTTTTTCTTGGCCGGGCAGCTATAACGAGGTTGAAGGAGGAGAAAGTACGGTTGGTGGAAGTGCTAGACCGACCCGAGATTGAAGAATTCATACCGTTGAAAGCAAATTCTGGAGAGAACCGACAATTAACTATGGAAAAAGATAGCTGTGACAAGAAGAACTGGATGAACTCCGCTCAACTGTGGAGTGCTGAAACCAAATTGGTAATTCCGACGTCTTCCTTCAAATTCCAATTTCAGCAGATGATTTTCAGAAAATATTGTAATCTGCAAGTAAATTTGGCGAGCTAAGGTAACAATAAACAACTTCTTTTGGTACTTTCAGGGAAGTGAAAATGATCGGTCTGTGCCGGAGAACCCAATTCATTCACGAAATCTGAAAAACAGAGGTGGGGCATTTATCCCCTTTAATGGAAATTTGGTTATGTCAAAGCCAGTGACGAAGGAAGACAAGGAAATCTCACAAGTTCCTAGTCTTAGCTTGATGACTCCGGCGTCCGAACTCAATCTCAAGAATTCAAAAACTTGTAGCAGAAATTGTTCGGGTGCGTCTTTCCTTACAGGCCAGCTTGACGGACAAGTCCAACCACAAACACAACACTTGCAGCAAAATCCTAGAAAACAAAGGCGATGCTGGTCTCCGGAGCTTCACCGGCGATTTGTTGACGCGCTTCAACAACTGGGGGGAGCTCAAGGTAAAATTTAACAAACAAAGAGTCTTTAATTTCTCTGGATTAGGAAAATTCTAGAATTGAACCGATTCTTAAAATTAGGTAAGCTCTCATAGGGATTTATTATTGCCTAACATCGTGCGATTCATGCTTATTTGAAGTGGATTTGGGTCTAACAGATCTGTTCTATTTTTCCTTTTCAGTGGCCACTCCTAAACAGATTAGAGAATTAATGCAGGTGGAAGGCCTAACAAACGATGAAGTGAAAAGCCATTTGCAAGTAAGTAATTCCCTGATTACGTCTCTGCACATTTGTAGCTTTTTGTTTTCCGCCACTTGACGTATTTCTGGGGTTTATACAGAAGTACAGACTTCATGTGAGAAGACTTCCGGCTTCAACAATTAACCAAGGAAATGGCTTATGGATGGTAGAAGATCAATGCGGAGAGAAGTCAAAAATAAACTTATCACAGTCTGGTTCTCCCCAAGGACCTCTCCTCCTCGGAGGTTCTGCTAAGGGTCTATCGAGCTCTGGAGATGGCGAAGAAGATGAGAAATCAGACTGCCATAGTTGGAAGGGTGGTCTGCAACAGCAAGCGGAAGCTGATGTGCTGTCTTAAATTGACGCCTTTTTTTTGTTTCACAGGTAAATAATGGAACCAGACCCAGGATTTGACGGCAGTAAAATAAGCGGCCTAACATATAGAAGGGATCGAATTAATGTTTTTGAGACTCTACTCTGGAGATAGTAGTTGAAGTATCACAGAGTTGACGAAGTCTTCTTCCTCTGGTTTTGGAGAGGTTTTTGTTATAACCACTTTAGCCAGTATAAATTTTAGGTAGCAACATGACTCGTAATTCCCGTGATTCTATTGTATGAAATTCAGATGTTACTTCTGTTTCTGCAGCGTGTTCCTTAAAATATGACTTTGAGATTGAGGTTTGGCTTTTCAGTCTTGGACATTGTGCAAATGTTGACACTAAATCCACCTGCAAAAGAACCTTTTCAGTTATGGTCAACAGGGGCCTCTTTAAATTAATCCATCCCCAAAGCTAACAAACCGGTTATGAATATATATGATTGGCCCTTCTTTTCATTGAAAATTAGTTCAGCTTTTCAGAGTTCCATCTCAATATTAATTCCAGTCAGACTCCAAAAACCCAACAGATGATACAAACAATATTATCTGCTTCGTAGATCACAGTGCAAATTTGGCTTCGCCATCCACGACTGCCTGGGAATATTGACGAACTCAATCTCATGTAGGCCTGCTTTTCTGCACTCTGGCCGGATCTCAGGTTGGTTTGTTTCATACTGCTCCCAGATTACTACTAAGGCGTGATCATAGGGAGACCATGCTTCGTAATTGTTTTAATCTAATGGGCAAATGAAAATGAGCTGTCTAATGGATAAACCAGAGGAGATCGGGCGCTGACAAATGGAACTTTACTTGATTGCTTCTCTTCGTTCCTTGTCATTTCTACTGCATCTTAAATAATAGTCGGGGCACATTTTCTAAATTATCCATTGTACGTAACTAAACACCCTTCAAATCCTCATGACCAGAGGAAAAAAAAAAAAAACACCCTTCAAATTCCTTATCAACAGCTAAGCATCTTGCAAAAAATTAAAAAGAAAAAAGAATAGTCAACAACAAGCATTTGGTTTATAAGATCGGCTATAGGTCATGGATATCTGTTGAGAAGATTGTATGGACCACATAAGATTGGTTACAATAAACAAAAACAACGTTTCCACGTGATAACATATACTATCTCTGGTCTTAAATATAAGAATTAGTTGACTAATTTGAATAAATTAAAAAAATAAATTAAGTTAGTTATTTGTCATAAGCATGTGTTGTATTTTTTAAGATATCCTTACTAATCAAGTGTGTTGTCTAGAACTACCATTATTAGAATGACTACTTTAAAAACTAATAAATAAATATAAAATATAAAATAAATTAAAATATTATATTTAAGACTAAAATAAAAATCAAGATATTATATTGAGGAGGAGGTACACTCAAGTTTATTATTTTTTGTCGTCAAACATTACGAGCGTTAGCTTTACATTTGCATGGCAGAGTCCCTCCCGTGTAAATATCTGACCAAAATTAATATCTGTACTGTGAGTATCATTGACGCCATTATCCGTGTACTGACGGCCAAAAAAAAAAAAGTGCCACCGCGCGAAAAAAAAAAAAACACTGGGGAAAATATTTCTCAATTCCGGCCATACTTCTCAGCCTGAAAAAATGCCAGTGCGACAAAAAAGGGATCACAATAACTTTTAGATTTTTCTGACAAAAAGATGATAAATCGTTGAATAATTTATGCTACTTTTATAGTAGAAGTGTTTAAAGTACACCAACTTCTGAAATTTTGGAAAATATAAAATTTTCTCTATTATGACCAAAAGATCAATTAGAGCAATACTTATTTAAACAAATTGACTTTATATTCATTACCCGTATAATATAACAATTTTCATATGTGTTACCAATACAGATAAATTAGTTTTATAAATTTCATTTATTATAAATGATGTGGCAAAAAAAATATTCTTTTTTTTCCGGAAAAAATATACTCTTACAATAGTCCTGAAAATCAACTGATTTATGTTTAATCTGAAAATTAATATTAAAATATAATTTTGAAAATATTTTTCGATGTTTTATATTGTAATAAAACAAATTAATGTTATAATCAAGTGCAGCGTGATCATGTATTGATTTCAAGGGTAAGTATAGATTTAGTAGTGAACATGTGAGCACAGGAAAAAGTGCACTCAATCTAGCCAATTTTATAATTTGGGGTTATATGCTGCTTTATTTCTTATAGGGACACTCATTATTGAAATATTTTTTCCGGCTACTGACCAGGGTACTTGAGGTGATGAAGGTTTCTACCCAGATCCTTAAACATGATTTCCCCATTTTTAAGTCTGATCCTAATTATAAAACCTTATTTATACAAACAATATTCTTATAGGATTAGAGGTAGTAATTACTACATCTGATTCTTAATATAAGAGCTTGTTTGATTTTTATCTTGGTTCTAAATATAAGACCCCAATCTATTTCGTCTCTTATATTTATCTATTTTTTTCAAAGTAATCTTGTAATAATGGTAGTTCTAGCCAATACACTTGATTAGCAAAGATATTTTAAGAAATACAATATCTATTTATTACAAATAACTAATTTAACTAGTTTTCTTAATCTATTTAAATCGGTCACTAGTTTTTATATTAAGGACATGAGGTAATATTAAAGTATTATCATGTGATGTAACTACTTGATTCAAAATCATTAAGCTATCCAGCCCTAACAAAAGTCCCCCAAAGCAGCCCAACCCAGTCTGTAAAGAACAGAAGCTGGGCTAGACCGGCCCACGGTTTTCTCTGTTCTTCATTTTCAAGAGGTCGCCGGTGAAGTTGGCTTATTGCTGCCATCCTGAGCAAGTCTGCATCTTTTCTTTGCCGCCAAAAACCGTGAAGTACGCGGTAACTGTTAATCACTGCTCTGCTCAATCCAGGTAATGTGAAGAACACTTATTGTCTTATTTCCTGCTGATTCTGAGTTCTGAAATCCATGCCCTTTTACTTGCAAGTAAATAACTGGTCATCCCTTTCCGTCAGAAAATATGAAAGAAATTGTGACTATTCAAGTTGGTGACTACGCGAATTTCATTGGTTCTCACTTCTGGAACTTCCAGGTTTGAATATGTATATTAATGCTTATTTATTTACTTATCTTGTTTCTCCTCAGTAAGGCTCTCTGCTCCTGTTTCTCCTCATCCTTTATCCCCTTCGGAACAAGTCTTAGTGAGTAATACTTGAAAGCTCTATGTTTGTGTTAGTTACCTAAAGCGAGGAAGCAGAACTTACGATTTGTATTTGGATCAACGAAGTACTTATTATGATGCTATCAGCCACGATATTCCGCAGCTGCCGATCTTCTGCTCTCTTCCTTCCTTTCAAAACTTCAGTTCAAATTTGATTTCTTGAAAAATTTGGCTCGCGTCTGCTTTCATATCTGTTTATGAAACTGATTGCATATTTCTGTTTTTCAGAGATCATATATACTCAGACGAATATTTCATCGCAACCTGCCTTTAACCTCTTTTGTGTTTGGAAATTGTTCTTTAATTTATGGCTCTTCTGCTGAATTTGATCTGTTTTTTCTTTTTTGGTTCACATGATGTTAATTTTCTTTTCTTCAAGTTGAATGACTGCAATATATAACCAGCATTTTTTACTTAAATCCTGTTTGCTTTTCTCGCAATTGATATTAGCGCTTCACTCGTTAAGAGTATTTTGAGCATGTTTATTGCTCAATAATTCAATCTTCTGATATATTGTACAGGATGAGTTGCTGGGGCTTGCGGGGGATCCCCATGGCGATCCAGTCTTCAACGATCACGATCTTAACATGGATGTGCTTTACCGAACTGGTGAGACACAACAGGTGCAACTTTTTTGTATTTAAATTGGCATTTTATGATTTTTTTTTCCTCTGAATTTTTCTGTTTAGAAGTGTATCAAACTTGGTGGAAAATAAGATCTGTACAAAAATACTAAAAGAGTTGGGACTGAAAATTCAATGAAATGTCATATTTGGACTTTTGTAACTATTCTTGAGGTATCCCATATCTTTGTAGATTAGATGGTTCAACAACTTCAAACACTAGCTATATTCCTTAAAGTGCTGTTTTTGTGCTTACACCATTATTGCTTGAATATTTGCAGGGCATCCATACATGTACTCCTCGCTTAGTTTCAATAAACATGAAAGGTATTTACGTATTTTAAATTATAGAAGAAATATATCGGTGAAATATTTCCCAATCCTGCTATTGGATTTATTTGTTGTCATTATTCCTTATTAAGTTGATAGTGTATGCTGATAATCTTGGTTGCTAAGGATTAGTAATTACTTATTTGTCATAAATCGGACTATAAACTCTGAAAGAGAACCTGGATTAATAATTTGAAACTATATATGGCGGAACAATTGTATTTGAAGTTAAGGCTCATTAGTTACAGTCTTGATGTTGTGATGCTGATATCTGATCAGCTGAGAATGTTAAGTTGGTAGGAAAACAGTAATAAAAATGCAAACCACGATAATTGATTGAGTAATATGGTTACGCCATAATTATTAAATATGTTTCAAGGGGGCTTGAAAGCATTGTCAATCAGCAGGAGGAATCTTATTAAAACTTGTTAATGCTGGTTTGTGGCTAAAAACACTAAGAAACTTATTTTCCTGTATTTACCAGGGGGCTTGGAAAATTTTAAATAAAGAACCTGAATTTTTAAGTTGTATGTGTGAGTATTGATGGTGGCATAGTTTCGTGAGATTGTTGATTTTCATTAAGCAAATTTTTAGCTGTCCACTTTTGATGGGATTGAAACATATTTGAAGGCCTTATTTGCTGGATCTGTTTATTATTTCAGGATCCCTTGGATCTATGAGTTCACGTGGGACATTATATAATGATGACGCAACCATAGCATCAGATGTCGTCTCCTGGTGAGACCTTTCTCACTGTTATTCTATGCAGTGTCATGTCATATTTCTAATTACAGTTGATTTGGAAATTTCAGATATTTTCCCCGACATTGTAATATATCATAATATTCTGAAGTAACAAATTTGTACTGATATTTTGCTTCCATTCACTCTTTGATCAAGTGAAATCCTGATATATCAAATATCCAACTGTTGAACATTATCCTGAATACCTAAATGTTTTGCTTACAAAATTGAATTCTCATGATAGTAAGAAACATTGTTACCTGCAAATAAGCTAAATGCCAGTAGACCAACCTGCAGGACCGGTAAGATTTCTACCCATGCTACTGAACACCATAAAAGAAATTTGTTCTTGCAAAGTCTTTATGAAGAAGATCAAAATTTGAATGTGGCAAATG